TAAAATGAGTGCATGAGCCAATTCCCAGGAATGAAAAAGAAATAGGTAATGGTTTGCTTACACAGCCCACAATATTTTTGCCTTTCCCTGGAGACAGAACTGGAAAAGACCTCATTGTTTCTTAGGCCCAGTGCACTTTTTATGGCAAGCTGATATCAATGCTGTGTACTCTCCTTCAGAAACTCATTGTGGGCAACCTTAAAACTCTGCTTTTCGTTTCCACTCTCCCTGTCTGCCTATTCCAGAACCAGACACCCATCAGAGTAAGAAACTATTTCGTAATTTCTGCTTACAATTTATTTATAATCAGTTTATTACAAATTGACTTTGTGTTTTCTTTTAGCTCAAATCCACCTTTTCCCTCACAGGTATTTAGTTTCTTGATATATTTAGAGATAGCAGTGCATTACATGCCATACTTTTATAGTTTCCTGTAAGATTGGCTCTTCATCCATAGTTAGCCTGGCAGTTTTTCCTTGCAGGATACTCTAGAGTATCCTGGATTCAGTCCACTAGTGTCTTTCATGAAGGTATTAATTTCTGCTGAACCCCCACCATGCAAGAAATCACATGCACATTTTTGCACTTTTATATCACCCAGCAGTGAATAGTTTCCTTCTGATCAGCCAGAAGCCTCTGCACAGTGGTGGGCTTTGACTCTTGATTATAATTGCTGAGTCTCCACCTTAAGCAGACTTTCCTGATCACACAGGCTGTATTCTTACACTTTCATCCACTTTCTATCATTACAACCCTCACTATCATCCATTCTTCCCCGTTTAATATTCTACTACTTCTCCAGATCGATGTCATCTTCAAGTCTGAGTTATAAGCAAATTAATCAGCACATTTGTACTTGCTATGCCAAGACCATAAGAAAAAGTTTCCTGGCTATTCTAAATGCAGCAGTTTGGCACTTTCTCCTTCACTGCAAACCCCCATTGTATATTGTTTACTAACTTCCACTGACCTTTGAATTTCTGCATAAAGATGTGCACAGATCATTAGTTCTGCACCCAAATTAATAAGTTTCTATTTGGCACTATGTTCCTGAAATCCAGATTGATTAAACTCTGCCTCAGTTATCTTCTCGAAAATAATAAATTAAGATCACCTGATTTATCACTGATGGAACAGCATATTCCACTTTCCCATTAACACTGTTGTTTATTTACTCTTACTGTTAAAAAATATTGTAAAGACTTACATTTTATTGAAAGGAGTGTCAAGAGCTCACAATTCCTGGTTTCCTTTCCTCCATGCCTGAATTTTTCACAGCTTCAGCTTTTCTAAGATAAAGTCTACCCTTTTTATATTTCAGTTTAATACAAGCAGATTTTAACTAGTGATTTCCTGGTCTATTGTATTTCCCACAATAAGCAATGCTGTAATATCCTCATTAATAACCAAGAAGAGAGCTAAAATAGAAAGTTTCTCACAGATTCAGCAATTGCTTTGTGTAGAAATGTGTCACCTATCCCACTCCAGAACATCTAGACACTACTATTGATAGAAAAATTTGTTCTTCGATCTGCATTTAGGAAACCAGACTTTTCCATAAAGAACCTAAATCCCAGAAGGATTAGTCAATTTTTGATTTGTCACCCCATCACATTATAATGTGCTAAAAATACAGGAGGACTAATGCTATTAAAACATCATGTCTCTGAAAAGAAAATTACTAGAAATGCAGAGGGAAATGTCCCAGAATACTTTGGTAGGAACAATGATTTTTTGGTTATGACCTATTCTCACCATGAGTAAGCAAAATACAATAGTTTCCTTCCCCACCCCTGACTGCATAAAGAGAGTTAGATCCCAGCTCTGTAAATGCTGCTATCACAAGACAGATGGTTTGGTTTTCATTCCTACCCCTCAGAGGGTGTGTATTTGTTCCACCATCTCTAGCTACCCAAGGATGGGAGACTGAAGAAACACACAATTTTTATTCTAGTCATGCCATGCATGGCTATTATACCCATACATTAAATATTGGGCATCATTTCTCAGCACATTGAAATGATTTCCCTCTCCCTTCATGCATGATTTCCCTCCAATTCCTTGACTGGCACAGGGCAGTTGTCATGGTAGGACAGAAAACAGTCTAATCCAGCTGCAGGAATGTGATGGAGAGCCTTGAGGATTCAGCTGAACTGCGGCCACCACTAAATATGGGCTTGTCACTTATATGATTGCAGAGAATAAATCTGATAAATGCAGATGACACTAAAGAATGACTGCTGTTTCCAAATGAAACTGCCCCCCAAATCAACTAGTTCTTGAAGAATTTAAGTGTTTTTAGAAATAGGAACAAAAGAAGAATGTACAAATAATGACAGGAACAGGTGATGAGGTTGAACATCATGGGGGGTGTCCTCTATAAGACTGAAGTTAAGGATTACCAATTCACTGCACATTGCTCTTAAATGAACAGTGACACTTCACAACTGTGTGTTCTGACTTTTTGTGGAGTTTTTTCTTCCTCCTCATTGATTTCAAGGGACAGGAAGGGAGAAATTCTGGCCATATACACAAGAAAGTGTTGTAGGTTTTCTATTAAGGACATTGTGAGCAATAATACAATTGTCACTGTAAAACTTCAGCAGAAGGACTTACAGCCCCACTTGCTTTACTTCCCCATGTCCTGTATCCTTTGCACTCTGCTCAGTGTTAGGAAGGGCACAGGGAAAATGAGGCCTGAATAGGACAAGAAGTTACAGGAGAGAGACAATGAATCAAAGCAATCAAAAGAATCTGTGACATCAGAGCATGAGCACAAAGGCCTTCTGGCTCTGAACCGTGGCTTCCAGCACTGTAAAGCCACCACATTCACAGAAGTGTTTTTCTTTAAAGCACGATAAATCTCTTCCTTTGCCCTTTCAAAACTTGAAGTTTTGATCAAAGTACAAAGTCCATGGCCTGTAACATCAGATGAGAAAGCAAATTCATCTTGTCCCAGGGGAATTATGGCAAGCTGACTCTATCTCTAAATCCCAAACACAGCTCTGCATACAATTCTGCCTCTGGAGAGATGAAGAGATGTAAGCACATATGACAAATGAGAATCATCTGTTCACTGTGCTACCAGAAGATTCTAAGATAGGACAGTAATGAAGATTTAAGGGACTTAAATAGAATTTTTTCCCACAAATTACTGACCTGCTATCAAGTAGCACATAAGAAACTACAAAATAGGCAACATAAAAATAAATAGGGCAGCAACCTGTAGTTTTAAGGTTCAGTCTCTGATGTTCCCACTAGGTTGTACTAGGAATTGGACCAAGTCTTTAGAAAGAAACCAAATCTTGCAAAAAGGCAGCAAACAGCACGTGAATGTCACAGCTTCTACCAGCCTCCAGCATGTAAACTCATTTAGCATCAGTCACAGGCTTTATAATTGCCCTGCTTTCAGCAACACAACCCAACATGCACCATTCAGTTGCTTTCCTGCAAAAGCACAACAATAAAAGCAGCGGAAAGGTGCACTGACAGAATGACTGCAGTGTTTGTCTGCTCTAGGGCAGGTATATATCTTTTTACAGCACCACCACTGAATATACTCTACTCTGTCTTCTGAACTGTAATAAAAAAAAGGCATTTGTAGTTTCAGATACCCTTAAAAATATTGGGTTTAAAACATGTCTCCTGCAATAACGCTGCCAAAACATACCACAAAGCTTTCAAAAGTTTAACTTTTGGCATCAGAGAACTTCTTATATGTGTCCTTTTGCATCAAGCACCAGAAAGACTTGGAAGTCTGCAACCCTGTGCTATTTCTTTTCCTTTTCCCCAAAATATGTATAAATTTGGAAGGCACAAACCTGTAAAAACTATCTTGAATTACAAACAAGACCTAACTTCTCTATGAGTTTATGTTTTTGCTGTCTCACAAGGAGTTAAAACCACTGCCCTGATCTTGTAACACAGAATAACTGTACCATGTCATTATTAGTGGAACTGCAACACATCTGTTGTCAGTCCTTCACCAAACACCTAATGACTAACCACAAACTATAGATCAAACTGAAGGAATGTTACACATCCGACCATTTAGCAGCAGTAACAATCCATCTGTTGTGCATTATTACTTCTATGAATCATGAACTTAATTCTAAATTAGGTGATTAAATAGTGGCATAATTCACTTAGATGTTAAAGGGATAACATTTTGTTTGTGGTTCCAGCTGTTTACTTGGAATTACATTAGCTGGAGCTCGGGGCATAACTGTGTGAAAGTCAGGTAATGACTGGAAACCACCACCAGGTTCTGTGTTTAGGAGTCAGACAAGAAACAGAGTTTTGGAGATAATAATCTTGAGGAAACAACAGTAAGTTGATATCATCGTTCCATGTGATATCTCTGCACACTTTTGAGTGATAAGTGAGAAAAAGATAATGATTAGGTTTTTCCATTGTTTTTCTACTATTGAAACACCACAGTCTTTCCCTTGTAACCTTGTATTGGGTGCAGGTATCATGGGGCTGAGTGGTGGGATGGTAACACCACCTTACCAAAAATGTCAAAACTATTTCATTTCCAATGTATTGGGCTTTCCCAGATCCTATGAAATTCTCCCTTTCACCTTTTCTCACTTTATTGATTAAGCCACAGGCAGATTTTCTACTGACTTAATGCCAGCAGAGAAAAAAACATGTTTTTTCAAGTAAAAGCAGAAAAATAGTGCTTATGAAGCACTCCCAGAGATTCAATCTTTTTCCAAATATTGAATTACTGTATCTTTGGCAGGGATATGCCATGAAATAGGATGAACTACAAGCACTCATTACCTTTCAGTTCCACTAGGCTGATATCCTTCAGGTTTATCCTGCTGTGGCCCCACTCTTATGGACTTGCAGTTGTAGGTGAAAACATTTTATGTGAAGGATGTCCCTGTTTAACTACAAAACTATCACCCAGGCTGGCTTGAGTTTGATCCTGAAGCACTGGTGCTATTCCCAACAGGCATCCTGCCAGGAGTGCAGGACCCACACCTACCCACCTGCTGAAGATGCCATGAAGGACAGAGCTCATTGCATGATTCAGGTTTGGAATTCATGTCACCTGCAGTGTTACTGGATCTTCTGACAGCTCATCCACAGCACACCAAAAGATTTGGGGCTTGATGGAATTTCTGATGACAAAGTCCTGTAGGATACAATAAGAATGTAATCAAATATAGGTCATGCTTTAAATGTCAATCAGTTTAATAATATAATATGCCTTTTCAGCACTGCAAAAAGTGTTAGCAGTGGTTGTATGTGACTCCTCTATACCAGGCTCTAAACCCACACAAAATCAATTTTTACCCCAGGCAGCCACTATGTAACTTTATGGAGTCACCCTGCAGAAGCAGGAAGGAACACAGAGAAGTGAAAGGACCTTTGCTGGGTGCCCAGGAGATCAACAGAAGAGACAGAATATATTAGAGCTGCGCTCTCTCTACTTCTGACTCTTGCAGTGGGAGGACAATATGTAATTTAATTCATGCTCTAGTCTAAAGTGTTAAATAATAAACATAGCTAACTTAAATCCCTCTCAAACTATCAGCAGGGGAAATTAATGTTTGTGTTACTTATCTCAGGTGATGTAGTCTGTGATGCTTCTTTCTAACTTTAAATATAAATAATAATGTTATGTGTACTAGCTCAAAAGCTAAGAAGGCAACAGGAATTCTCTTTCTCACAGACCTCAGCAGGCTTCAGGAGACCTAAGCAACCTGGATCTGCACAGGAAAGAAGCATTAATTCACCAGTACCTTGTTCCAAAACATTTCTTTTAAAAAATACCAAGAAGAAACTAAAGAATGGGAACACATAGCGTTTGGTTACAGTCATTTAAGTGTAGACTGTAAGTGGTGTCTACTCACAGCACAGAAGACCTGTGCTATCAGGAGTACAAGGAGGTCAGGGAACAGGGAAGGAGAAGGCGTAGAGGAATAACGTCCTCCCTCTGCTCAACTGCAGAGACTTGGAAGGGTGCCTGTTCCTCAGCATTTGCTGAGATTTTGTGCCTGTTACATATTCTGCTGCTTAATAAATTTACACTGACAAGGAAAACATAATCCTCCCTGAGATAGCAGAGTTATTATTTCCCTTAATTCATCACGTGTTCTCTTCTTTATGGAGTGGTGAGAACAGAAGGGCAGCCTTGGCCCACCAGTGGCTGGTGCTGGAGGTTCAATCATTTGGTGTAAGTGTTGCAGTATTTTATTATAAGGAATTCACAGTGTTGTCTTTGAGCTTCTCTTTATTACTCCCCGGTTTTGCAAATTTTATTTGCTACTAGCAAACAGTGGTTCTCATTACATTTGCCCTAGGCAATGTCAGAATGTCCCCATCCAAATGGCTCATCAGCCTCATTCAGATCACTGTCAGTCATGCCACGGGCAGATCACTAGGACAAGACATCCTGAAAGGTTCTCATAGCCACAGAGCTGCCCCCTAATGACATGCAGCTCCTGCAGCAGTGCCTGCAGCAGCCCAGAAATTCACAGTCCACTGGCTGTCCAGTTTTCACTGCGCTGTAATGAAATGCTGCTGGCAGGTGTAGATAAAAGGGGTGAACAAGGTTCTGCTTCAAGTTTCTGCCCTTCGAATTGCTTGTCTTCTAATAACAATATGAGAATACAGGAGGGACCAGCACAGCTGTAGTTCAGTGGAGTTGATAGTGAAACACTCCTGCTGTGCACAGAAGCAGCTCTGCAGAGTGAGCTCTGCAGCCCAAGGAAATCACTGCCCCGGCTCTGCCTGGTACCCACGGCTCACAGCTGACCTGCCAGCTGGCACTAAAGGGACAGGGTCACACCTCCAGCACAGAGCAGGCACCAGGGTTACTGTGAGTGCTTTGCCAGACAATACTGTGTCTGAATGAAATATACTGTACAGCCTCATTAACTGCATGTTTGAACTCTGCATGACTGTAATAGTTTGCCATAAAAAATAAGGATTATTTACCAGCACAACAGAAAAAGAGACGGGAAACCATAAAGTGAGGGACTTGCTAATTCTTGAAATTTTTCCATCATGAAAACCTAGGACATTGCCAGTGTTAAGGTCAGTCCAATAGATAATCATTTAGAGAGAAATGTATGCAGCACCCTGAACTTCAAAACAGAAAACAGTACATTAGATGGACAGCAGGAAGGGTCAGAGAGCTCTACTGCCAGGACAATCTATTTTCAAGGGTGTGGCCTTAGGAATAGAATACAGAGAAACACCACAAAAACTTACCAAAAGACCAACATTTATCAATAGAAATAATGCTGTTATCTCATAAAATCTCAAAAAAAAAAAAAAGCCCCAGTTCTAGAGAGTTTCTTGTTCAGGCAGACCTCCCTGTGTGTTTCCTGACTGATATGGTGTCATCAGCAATTATTTCTAATGGCCAAAAACATTGTACTAAACAATAAAGAAAGTACCCACACCAAAAATATTTTAGGTAAGTTTTTAGGAAAAACGAGAAATAGTTGTTTGCAGAATAATGCAAACTCCCAGTTGGAAGCCACAGCAGGGAACCTTCTTTGCTGGCTGGGACTCTTCTAAAAATCAGGAGCAACAAAGAGGAGACTTCTCTTTAGTTCTTCTGCTTTAACTAAATTGCATTAAAAAAATAATACCAAGTTACTTATTTGCCTACATTTCAAACAGATGTATCTTCAACTCCTTAGATCCCCTGTGTACAATATAGAACCAAATACAGCAGAGAGGAACTGGTCAAAAGCTAATAGTCACTATAAATAATACCCTCTTAAAATACTCTCACAGAAACAGTAATTATTTTTACTTAAAACCTCTTTAATTTATCTCTTTAATGTAATACTAATTTTCAAGATAATAAAGAAAAATTTGTACAAGCATGACAGATCAGTACCTACAGCATCATTAATCAATATAAGAGATAAACAAGCACATTACCAATAAAAAATAGATGTTATAGGAGAAGTTTAATTTATGTTCCTCAGCAATAACACACATATAAATAAATATTAATTGTTGTGAACAAGATACCATCTGCAGCCCATTTTATGGAAAAGTCCAAAGGAAAAAAAGTTTTCTTGCTACTATCCATATACTAAAAGAACTGGAGAACTTACAGTCTCACTGAGTCACTGAACTGTTTAGGATGAAAAGCCCTCTAAGAACATCGAGTCCAACTGTAAACCCAGCACTGCCAAGCCCACCACCAAAACATGCCCCCAAGTGCCACATCCACATGTTTTTGAACACTTCCAAGGATGGTGACTTCACTCTTCCCTGCAGAGCCTGTTTGAATGCTTGACAAACCTCTTGGTGAAGAACTTTTTCCTAATATCCAATCTAAACTTCCCCTGGCACAACTTGAGGCCATTTCCTCTTATCCTGTTGCTTGTTACCTGGGAGAAGAGGTTGAACCCCCACCTGGCTACACCCCCCTCTCAGGCAGCTGTAGAGTGAGAAGGTCTCCCCTGAGCCTCCTTTCCTCCAGGCTAAACATGCCCAGCTCCTCCTCCTCACACCTGTGCTCCAGACCTTCCCCTGCTCTGTCACCCTTCTGTGGACACGAGGGCTATTGGTAGGCTCCAGCACCAGGAACTATAAAAATCACACAAAGATATCACACAAAACTCTTTCTGAAATATGTGTTTTTGAAACACAATCCTACTTCTGAAACCACAGTTTTGATTTTCCTTCCATTCTCTCTGTTCCTTTGTAAGCTCAGGCACAGAAGCTGTAGAGGCACTAAAGCTGCCTTGGTTTTGGCTGCTTTATTTTATTACATTTTATTACATGTTCCTCTATAATACAAAGCCACTGAAAGAGGACCATTTTTTAATAGAATTGCCACCTGGTAAGCCTGCCTGCTGCTTTGTTTTCCTACCTGTCCTGGTACTCAAATGACCCTTATCATTAGTGCACCATTAGAGTTAGGAGTGCCTGTACTTTATTCCATGTATTCAGGACAGGTTATGGATTGAGAACAGCCTCCAAGGAAGTGTTTCACCCTCACTTATCAACTAGGTCTGCTCCACACAAAGCTGCCAGGTTCCCCAGGCTCAGGGAAATTTACTGCTCAGCACAAGGGTGGCAAAACTCAGGTCTGGAATGAAATCCCCTGCATTTGCTTCACAGAGCAATTCACTGAAGAGCTGCCAAAATTCTTCATCTCCTCACAGTGACAGGGCCTCATCCTTCTCCCCTCACCTGTTTCACACAGTGGGGAGGACAGTGCTAGGTGGTGCCAAAGAGAAGGCAACAAGCCAAGGTACGACAGCAAAGTACTTTAAAATGCCAAAGGATGTTAATTGATGGGTGCCTGGAGCAGCTTCTTCTCCTGCTATTGCAGATGCCACTGAGTCTCCAAATGTGGGGAACAGGGGACTAATACATCTCAGAGATGCTGTCACTATATAGTTGTACCAGTATAGGACCTCATCTGCAGATACGTGGTGGAATTACTTTGTCAGTATATTTAAACTAGTGTTTCAAACAATATAAATGAGTACAACAGAAAATGCACACTTGTCTCTTGTCCAAAGGCCCAGTGAGCTCCTGAGAGGCCAGCACAGCCTGGCTAACCAGTGCCACAGGGATCACAGGAGTCAGACCCCATTAATCACACTGAACAGGGAACTAACATTAATTTGTTAGTTAGACTCATACTAACTCATACTAACACACAGGTCTGACTTGGAAAGTAAGATGAATTATCAGCTTCCCAGACTCTGCTGTTAACTGATGAATCTTAAATAATGAACCACTCTGGACTTGCAGCCCTTTTAGGAATGGTCTCTTCCTCTTCATGGGGTTTTGAGACACTCCTGTCTCTTCAACAGCTCTGCTGAGCTTTATAAAGCTCAACAGCAGCAGCAGGCACTGGTTCCATGGAATGAGGATATTCCTGGCCACTGCTTCAGTCCTTTCCTATGCTCCATAGGCCAGACTGTCAGACCATGGCAACTGCTGCTTTACCTCCCATGATTACAAAATCATGGTCTCACCTTCTTCACACTGAAATTGTCTTATGTCTGCACTTTCAGCTCAGTTTTCAATGCAAAATTAGCTTTGGTAAAATTAACGAATATCCAGAAAGGAATCTTCAGTATTCTAGATTGACTTAATCTTTAAAAGTCCTCAGAACCCAAGTGAAAAAAATATAC